GCCTGCAGACTCTACACCTGACAGCACTCCAGTCAGCCTGCAGACTCTGCACCTGACAGTGCTCCAGGCAGCCTGCAGACTCTGCACCTGACAGCGCTCCAGTCAGCCTGTACACACTACACCGGACAGCTCTCCAGTCAGTCTGCAGACTCTACACCTGACAGCTCTCCAGTCAGCCTGCAGACTCTACACCTGACAGCGCTCCAGTCAGCCTGCAGACTCTACACCTGACAGCTCTCCAGTCAGTCTGCAGACTGTGCACCTGACAGCGCTCCAGTCAGCCTACAGACTCTGCACCTGACAGCTCTCCAGTCAGCCTGCAGACTCTGCACCTGACAGCTCTCCAGTCAGCCTGCAGACTCTATACCTGACAGCTCTCCAGTCAGCCTGCAGACTCTACACCTGACAGCACTCCAGTCAGCCTGCAGACTGTGCACCTGACAGCGCTCCAGTCAGCCTACAGACTCTACACCTGACAGCTCTCCAGTCGGCCTGCAGACTCTGCACCTGACAGCGCTCCAGTCAGCCTGTAGCCAGACATCATGAGACTTGTCTGGGGGTATGAAGGGACTTATTCTTCTATCAACATTCTAAAAATTACAGGTGGGTAAACGACTTTCCTTCACCTAGAGCTTTTCTGGTCTGAGTGAAGTATTTTTTAAAGGCGCAATCAAATTCTTAAAATTGGAAAGTCTACTTGAAACAGATTTATTCCTGTTTCCTCTGTCTCCCCTAAAAATAGCAATCTGGGTTCCTTCAACACCATCTCAGTGTTACCATACCTGCAATGTTGACTGAGGATATGAACGTAGCAAGGGCAGCAAGGCCCTGAGAGGTCGTGGAGGGGTACAGATGGCCGCCCATCAGTGCCAGCCCTCCTACCGCAGTCAAGCCTAAAAAGAAAACACCAGTATGGTGAACAGCTGTCCTGACTCCAAACCAAATGACATAGCTAAAGACTTCTTATGCAGATTCAAAAGGGGGAAAGTTGTCAGTGGCAAAAACAAGGCTGTTCTCCTCAGGAGCCTTCACTAAATGACATAAACAATTTTCCAGGGAAGATTATTGACCACATACTTTCACACCTTTCTCACTTGAATACTGTTGTGGGAAAACAGTTAATGAAACCTGTCCTTCTTTTGTATGAAAGACTTGCCTTCCTTTAACTCTCCACCTCTGCTTCCTTGATAAAGATACAAATGACCAGTGATACCAGATCAGACTGCTGTGGACGTTCAGCAAATGCACTGGAGAAAACTAGTCATAAACTGTATTCTGGCTGGCGTAGCTTTGGGCTTCCCAAGTGCAGCACCACTCCAACCGAGAGTGTTCCCTGTAAAACTGCTGGAAATGACACCTATGGCAACAGTTGCTGCCTAGCAGGGTGGGTCCGATTCCCGCATATCTGAGCCATCACCCAGGGTGACACAGAACAGTGCTTGGGTGTCCACAGGGCTCCTGCATGGACTGCAGTGAGGACTCCATTGAAGAGAAAGGCAAGGGTCTGTCCCACTGGAAAGCTGGCTCTCCACCCCTCCACCTCTCTGGGACCAGAGCCACCTGTACAGCTAGCCGCATTCAAGGCCAGTGGCCAGAGGACGCTGGGACTGATTCTGTGAAGTACTAGTTTCCAAATTTCATCAGTCAAATATTTCCCTTAAAAGAAATTATCACTGAAAGATCAGCCCCAAGGGCTGATATGTACAACACACTATTTCACAAACCCACTCCCCTTGGGGGACCCTAAGGCCCTACAACAACCCCCTCCCACAACAGGCAAAATAATTGGAAAACATAAGACTTTATAAATTGAGAGCTGAGAAGATGAGGAGAATAAGTAAAAAACAGACCTGAGATGGCATTTGTCACCGACATCAGGGGCGAGTGGAGGGCGGGGGTCACTCCCCAGACAGTGTGGTACCCCACTATGCCAGCCAAGCCAAAAGTGGTCACCATCTGAGAAAAGGCAAGGTCGGGAGCCACCACGCCCAAGCCCAGGACCCCAGTGAGGCCTAGGGAAAGAGGATAAAGAGTGTGAGACCCCATCTAGTTACCTCAGGAAGATCAAAAGCATACATACCCACACACAACCATGTGGAGAGTCAATGTTTTAAATTTCACTCTGCTGCCAGCAATGAGATTTTTTAGACATCTGACAACTGAGAAGTGGGGGAGACAAACAAGTATTATGGGCAAAACCCAACTTGCTGACCACTCCTACCCAAATCAATCGTACAGACCTAGTAACATTCATGAGTCACCGTAATAACATTTTGCACATTTTCCTGTGCATAGCTTGTCCTCTTCCCTGATTTAACTTTCATTGTCAATACCACATGTGTTCAGACAAGAATTTTTATTCCAAATTATAGGTCTTTAGAGGCGCTACAAAGAATTTTCTACTTGGGTAAGACATAACCTTTAAAAACCAGAACTTTTACAAGGCCAACTTTATGTCACTCTCAGATTTGGCCAAGGAAGAGTGGTTTAAAAGAGCAGGAAGGATTTCATTCACTCCAGCACCTCCCCAGAACATATGCTCCCCCACCCACGCCTGGGCCAGGAACTGCGCAACTGCTCCCGAGTCTGGATGGGACCGCTGGCCAGGACCGTCAGCTCTAGCCTCAGCACCAAGTCAGCAAATGGGATTTTACAAAGAAAAGGAAAAAAGTACAAATTAAATTAAGAATGTGCACAATACAAACAGTCAGCCCTGAACATACATCTTTAATTATCACCTTCTTAATAACAAACATGCGGATAGCTGCTCCACAACAGAAGAAAGGGTTACCTAGTGGTCAGTAAGAACAAAAGGACAGGATTCCCAGGAAGCTAGAATTTTACTCTGGTCCCTTGCTAGGACTATTATTGTCTAAGTGGCACTGCTGGAACATCAAAACTCAACATTAGTTTTACTTTAAGTCATGCAGTAAGACTGAAAGTTTAATTTATATTTTTTTACTCACATACAAGATTCCCAACTTTTTATTGGATGGCCTGTTAGCCATCTGGCAGGAGAGTCAAATAAAGCATCTTGCCTGCCAGTTAAAAATCAGAGAAGCTCTACATGGCGGAGCTTATCATGTCTTCTGACACAGAATTCCCAGCTCAAATCTTACTCTACTGCTTGCTAGTGCTGCGAGCTCAGACATGTTCTTCAGCCTCTCTGTATTTCAGAGTCCTCAGCCGTAAAACTGTGAACCTTCACTGTCTTTATCTGGAAAATGGTATCATAATATTCCCACCTCAGAGAATTCTTTTTTTTTTTTTTTTTTTTT